CTCCCCCAACCCCACCCCACTAAAGGGACCCCCAGCACGACAAGCTGGTGGCGGAGGCGGCTGATAAGATTGTGAACCAGTGGGAGCAGGAGATGGAGCAGGTGGCCGCCCGCAACGACCCAGCGCACAGCCGTTGCCGCCCTCTGTTATAAGCGCATATGCTTGCCCCACGCTCCCTCTCAACGCGCCCCTGCTGCCCGCCCGCAACCTCGCCGCCTCGCGCGGCCAAGGCCGCCGGCCGGCGCGTCTTAAAGCGTCCAGGCCGCCTGATAATCTTGGTTGCACCCCTGGCCCCGATCACAGGTGATGGACAATTTGGAAAAGGCCCAGACGGCTTTTGATGACCTGGCAGGTGGGTTGACAAAGGGGGGGTTCGTGCGTGGTTGGCGCGAGGGATGGGTGCGGGCCCCGCATCCTCTCGCATAGCCCCCAGCGCCCTTGGGAACGTCGTCGAGGTCGGTGCCGCTGGTTGGAGGTGCCATCCGGCTTTCGCTCTTCTTCCACGCGGACACCCCGACGCAGCACAGCACGCCGCCGCCCGCTTTCATCGCCCCTCCCCCCCGCTCCACGCCCTCCCACCCCCGGCCTTTGGCCTCAGAGATGCTCGATGGCGAGGAGGGCTTTGCGCTGTCGCAGGGCACGTGGCAGAAGAGCGGCTGGCGGGAGCTCGACGAGCTGCGCAAGTGAGGGGGCAGCACCAAACAACGATCTGATTTTCAAAATCGATCGGCCTCTCACCTCATGCCTTGCGGCCTGAGCCTTGGACCCGCAGCTGCGCCACGTGTGCGACGCTGAGCCGCTAGAAAGGGGTCTGTGGTGCCTGGTTTACCGCCAAGGGAGACTGGAGGCGATTGAGTCAGGCGACTGGAGGCGATGAGTCAGGCGACTAAGCTTTGCTGGGGGGTTGAGCGCCGCTTGTGCAAGGAAGAGGGCGCGCACGGCTCGCAGCGGCGCGCGGCGGCGTGCGCGCCGACGCCGCCCGCCCCTCCCAGCTGTCGGCGACGCGCGTTCGAACGGCATCCCCGGGCGCCTGCCAGGAAGCTGGAGAACCTGAAGGAGCTTCGGGACCTGGTCAAGTCTCTGGGGCGGGCCGGCGGCAAGGGGCCGCTGCGCAGGGCGCCGGAGGAGGTGCGCCGTCGCCACCGCCTGCGGCGGCAGCGCGCCCGCGCGCGCACAGCCCCAGGCTCGCCGCCTTCTCGCCATGCGAGACTCTGCGCTTCGAGCTGCTGTCTGCCCGCTGCGCGGCACAGGTCTTTTTACACCCGTGCTCCGCACCCGCCCGCGCGGACGCCACCACGTTTGCGCTCCGCAGCTGGAGCAGTCGCGGTCGCCCCCGGGCGTGGTCCGCTCGCCGCTGCAGCCGGAGGAGGTGCGCGGCCTGGCGCGCAGCGGCGACCTCAGCCGCATGCTGCCGTCTGAAATCATGCTCATGGCGCACGGCTGGCCGCGCAAGGGCGGCGGCGCGTCGCGGCCGGAGTCGCCGGGCGGGGCGTGGGGCAGTAACAGCGGCAGCGGCGGCGCGGCGGTGCGGGATGCGGCGCGGATGAGCGCAGACCTGGGGTCGATGGACGAGGAGTACTTTTTGCCAGGTGCGCAGCTGTCGTTTTGAATTTGAGATCTGAGCTGTTCCGATCTCGTCGTTGACACTTGCGATCTGGCTCATCCGGCTTGCACGCAGCACTGGGAGCAGGGTTTCGCTCCGCGGCATGCGACACATGCACCAGGCACGTCCTCGCACCCTCTCGCAGGCGCCCACGCCGCTCGTATGCTGCACCGAGTGCGCCGCGCGGAGCGCGCGCTGCTGTCGTATGAGCGCACCGGCTGGCTGGACAACACGCCAGCGCGCATGACAGGCAAGCTGGCCCCCGCTTCCCAGCCGCCGGACGCCCTGCCGACCGTCTCATGCGCGCGCCCCGCTCGCCCGCGGCAGCCGCTCTGCGCGGGGCGTCCGCTGGCCTCCCACTCGCACTCCTCGGGCCGTCCGCATCCACCACTACCAGTTCACACTCCAGAGCCGTCCGGTCGCGACCCGCCCGCCTTCCTGGCACCCACTCTTTTCATCACCCGCTGCTCTGGTTTGTCGTCCCCGCCGACGCCGCGAAACTCCTCCAGGCCGGACGGAGGTCCGCCCGGCCGCTGAGCTTGGGCCGATCATCCTGTGCCTCGACACCAGCGGCTCCATGCGCGGCGCGCGCGAGGTGGTGGCCAAGGCGCTCGCGCTCGAGTGCATGCGCGGCGCGCACCGGCAGCAGCGGGCGTGCTATCTCTACGCCTTCAGCGGCCCGGGTGCGGCGCGGGGCGCGGCGGTAGGGAGCGCGCGCGCGCGCGCCGCGGGCTGCGCCACCGTTGAGTGGTGTCCTGGGAAGGAGGAGGGACGACCGCCCTGGCTTGACGCCAAGCATGGCCGGAAGCCGCAGGGTGGCTCGGACGTCGTGCTGCTGCGGCACCGGTGCGCCTCGGCCGCCCTTGCTGCCCTGCCCTGCCTCACCCACTGCCCCGTCGCCTCACGACGCCGCCGCCGGGGCCGCCGCCGCCGCCGCCGCCGGTACCCGCCCCTGGGCTGTTTTTAAACCGCCGCAGACCAGGTGCAGGAGCTGGAGCTGAAGGTCGACCTGAAGAGCCTCGACAAGCTGCTGGAGTTCCTATCGTGCGAGTGAGACGGGAGGGGGGGGCGGGGTCCGAGGTCCAAGGGTCGTGGCAGCACCGTGCTCCTGAGTCAGGCGTCGGGATGAGGGGGGCGATGTCGGAGCTGCTCTCCACCGGCCCCAGCTCGCTCCGTGCGGCAGCGCCGGGGCTCGGCTGCCCCGAAGGCCGCGCGCCGCAGCCTCGCGAGGGCTGCTGAGTGTTGTATGGGGAATCCCGTCAGGTGCTGCGCGCTCAGCAAACCAGCCCCTCACCTGTATAAATGGCACTGTTTGCATTGGGGGCGCTGGTGTCAGGGCCCCGGCCCCCGTTGACGCCCTGCCTGCGCGTCCCCTGCCGCCCGCCCGCACCCTTGCAGCTTCCACGGCGGCACGGATGTGGACCGGCCGCTGATGCTGAGCTTGGACCGCCTCAAAAAGGCAGAGTGGTGCCAGGTGCGGCCCCCACCCCCCACCGCCTTGCAATGCACATGCACGCCGCTGGCACTGCCCTGCGGCGGCCCCCCCCTGGCGCCATTGCACCGCTGCCTGCCGTGCCCCGCCTATGGCGCTGCACCTTTGGCAAGGTACGCGTCCCACTCCGACTCCCTCACCACTCAACCGCCGCGCTGCCTGCCCAAACCCCCCGCCAGGCGGATATTCTGATGGTGACGGATGGCGAGATCAACCCCCCCAGCCAGCAGCTGCTCGACGACCTGGCAGCTGCCCACGAGGAGCTCGGCCTCGAGGTCCACGGCCTGCTGGTGTCCAGCCGCGCCAACGATACGATGAAGAAGCTGTGCACGCACCTGCACATGTTCAAGTCGTGGACGGCGGTCGGCGCGGAGAGCTGGCAGTACCAGTAGCAGTGCCCTCCTCCTGGCACGGGGCGGGGCCTGCGGCAGGGGTGGTGCTGCTGCAGTAGTGCAGGATCCTGGTGGACGCTTACTGCAGGTACCCGAGCGGCGCGAGGATTGGCAGACTGGTGTTGACAGCGTCGTCTAGGAGGCTTTGAGAGTTGCGAGAGAGTCGAGCGGACGCCCTGCGAGGGCTGCAGTCACACAAGCAAAAGAGGCGCCGACGGCGGCGGTCAACCCATGGGCGCGGCGTTGCTGACCGGCCACCGGCGTGTTGTAACCTCTGCAGGAAAGGTGATGCAAGTCATGCAAAGAGTGGGTGCATGAGCTGAAGAGCGCTTTGCAGGTGTTGACGCCTAAAGGAGCCATCGATGAAGCGACCATGCACCTGGACCCGTCTCGCTTGTGAGACCTGCAAGCCGCCGCAGGAGCCTGCAGGGGTGCTGATGCAGGGCATGCATGAAACATATTGGCCATGAGCGTTGCCCATGGTATCATATGATAACCTGGAGACAGGCACTCGAAAAGCCAAGGAGGGATGCAAGTTACGTGATGAAAGACGCTCACTCGCTGATAAAGGGAATGTTCGAAAATTGCACCAAGAGTTGATTATATGCACCGTTGCGGATGCCGTTCATCTCGCAGACCGCACATACCTCAGCTCGAGCCTCGTCGCGGTGTTGTCTCTCACAAACGGGCCAGGTCTGCAAGCAGCACACGCGCTCGGAGATGCCAACCAAGGCCAAGGTGAGGCCGTGCATGCATGGGGGCCTTGGCTGGTCTGGCGCCCTGGGTGCTGTGCTGTCGCTGGCGCCGCACCAGTTGTTCGCTCCACCGAAGTTGCAGTTGCTGGCCAGCGATACTCGTTTGTGGGGCTGCCATTGCCGCCAGGGACCATGGAGTTTGCTGCTCAGGAGGACCTGCGGCGCTTCTTGGCAAGCGTCAAGGCAGACTACCAGATGTACGCTGAGGAGCTGTGGCGCCACAGCGTGACGGTTATGAAGGAGCTAGCAAACGCCACCGTGGACGACCTGGCAGCCTGTGGCATTGCGAACAGGATACACGCATCCCATATCAAGGCGGAGGCAAGCAAGGCAGAAGAAGGTGAGCCTGCTGTGAATTGAATTGTTGCTCTGCAGACACTGCTTGCATCCGAAGTGGCTGCGCTGGCAGCAATCATGCGACCCCGCAGCAACGACGCTGTTGTATGACGCTGATGTTCTTAAACCCCCTTCTTAATCGCACCTTCGCGGCTCCCGCCGGCGTCGTCATAACGACACAGCAGCAGCAGGTGAACGTGTAGCAACTCTGTTTCGTACCGCCTGCTGCAGCTGCATGCCCACATGCTTCACATGGCATTGCTGCCTCTGTCCAGCTGGCAGCCATTCATATCAATAACCAGCTGGGGCCAGGGCTCCATGGGGTTGGCCCCAGCAGACATTGCTGTTGTGTGTGGATAGGGATGATGGTCAGTGGGAATCTTGGTTGAAACCCAGCTGCACCTTGCAAGCACCCCCTGCGCCCTCCCGCGCCCTCCCCCTGCACGCTCCGTGGCTCCCGCGTGGGCTTCCACCGACGTCCCACAGCAGCAACAGGCGGGTGGCCCGAGCTTTTGCAACGGTGCTTGCGGCGATTCGCCCACCTGGGCTGACTGCCTGCGGCGCTCATGTGCATTTTGCCCTGCCGCATTGAGCAGATTCATCATCCTCATTCCTTCCCGCTGCGTCTGTGCTGCCTTGAACCTCTGTACATGGACATCCCCCCATCCTTTGCTGTTGTGCAGGCATAGCGGCCGGTGAATGATTGTGGCTGACATGGCAGCGTCCGTTTGCGCACCAGCACGTGCGCTGCGGAGGCATGCGGCCCAGCAGCCCGCGTGTCGACGCAGCTCCGCCAGCACCCCACCCAGGCCACCTCATGTTCGCTTGGTGTGCAACCTCCGTCTACCACCGCTGCTGCAGGACGCGGGAGCGATGGCGCGCCCCACAAGGGCCCCGGTGGCTCGCCTAAGCAGGGCGCAGCTTCAGTGACGACTGTGGCTCTGGCGGATGCACAGGTCACTTTGACCTCACGGTTCCCATGCATTCAGGAGGCTGGTTCGGAGGCCGTGGCCTCCCGCCTGGAGGACGCGGAGATGCAGTATGCGATGGAATTCATCTTGGAGCCAGCTCTGGCAGCCATGTCGATGTCGCAGCTGGACACGGAAGCGGGACGCGTGCATGTGGTTGCACAGGTGAGCTTGCATGCCTTGGCAGGCGCTGCTGCACCATGTCAAGCTGTGTGAGTAGCTGGCACAACTGAGGCGCTCTGGACCTGTATGTCCTACTTGGTGCTGTGTTTGCCGCACCATGGACCCTGTACGGCTTGTTTGCATTGCACCCACAGTTCCCCCCACCGCCCAGCAGCAGCCCTTGGATGGTCATGTAATCGCCTCGCTCGGACGCTCGCGCAGATGCTGCAGGCGGCTATGGTGCTCTTCCCCTGTGGTGACCGCCTCCAAGTGGAGCACGGCTCAGTAGCGGAGGATGTCTCCATTGTCAAGGAGAAAGACAACAAGGAGTACATGGGCTACGAGAAGCACGTCCGGGCAGGCAGCTTCAGGGGCCGTGTGGAACTGCAGGTGTTGCGGCCCAAGCAGGGGTCATCTGACATGCTATTCACAGGTGTGCTCTTGCGGTATGATGAGATCTAGCGCTCACCGCACTCTGTTGCTCCTCTTGGATCAGTGCTGCAAACGCCTGCACAATTTGCAGGAGCCATTAAGGTGAAGCTGCCACATGGCATCCTGGAGGGCCACATGGAGCAGGCCAAGAAGGAGGCCTTTGCCATGTGGTGTCACAATGCGACGCAGCAGAGCTACGAGCCAGTGTGGGTGGTTCTAACAGACCTGGACCAGGTGCGTGAGTTACTGAGGCTGATTCGCATCATCCTAGACAAGTTGGACCAGGCTTTTATTGTGTTTGTTGCAGGTGTGTTTCCGTGCACATGGCAACGCTGGTGTGGGCACAAAGCGGCTGCCATCTGTAGCTGCATGCGATATCACACACCCCTCACAATACACCTGCTGTGTGACGCTGCCGCCACAGGTGCTGCGCGTCACCTATGATGGCTACAATCGCCCAGGCGGAGGGGCGCGCGCATATGTCAAGGGGATGCCATGTGCGGATGTGCACGGACAACTCAAGTAAGGTCACATGCCTGGCAGGAGCCCATAAAGCCATCGCTTCACCAATTGTTTTGGCATCACGGGAGCATTGTGTGCTTTGTGGGCAGCGCTAGCGCTGCTGCTGGAGGATTGCATAGTGAGCTTTTGTCAGCATGGCTGTTGTCGCACTTTGTGAGCGCCGAGCTGCCCTGCGATGATGACTGGGTTGCGGCAAGACTGACCACAACCATGGCGTGCACATGCACAGGTGGACGAACACCTACACGCTCTTCACCCGTGAGGGCAGCTTGCGTCGCTGCGCTTGGGGCGCACCCCTAGCTGTTTGCGCTTTCATTGGCGGGCTGCTGGGTGCATCTTCCCCCAGCGTGGCCGCCCTTTGTGAGCGCGCACAGCAGCACAAGGAGAAGACCCAGGAGCTGCTCAAGCTTGCCATGGAGCCGGTGCCCAAAACCAAGAAGCCCAGACTGGAGGACAGTTGAACCACTGCACAGGTGTAGGCGTATCGCCGCAGGGCTTATCTGCATGTTTGTGCAGCCGCTGCCCAAAACCAAGAAGCCCAGACTGGAGGACAGTTGAACCACTGCACAGGTGCGATCGCCGCAGGGCTCATCTGCATGTTTGTGCGCATGTTGTGCATGTGTGAGCTTTCTAGTCCGCTCGTTCAGGCTGAGTAACACCTGTTGATTTGCTCATCTTGGGTTGTGTGCGTGTTTGCTTTTGGGTTCTTGGCCCCGCCTCTGTTGGTCACATCAGTCCATTGTGTGATTTTCTGCGTCGAAGCCCCGTCCTGCACATAAGCGGAACCCCTTCTCAACCCTCTCACCTCCCCCCCCCCTCCGCCCTGTACTCCTCGATCTCGCCCCCATGCTGCAACATGCAGCTCTCCGCCACTGGTGTGCTGCTCATCCGCCACTGGTGTGCTGGTCATCTGCAGGGTGACGGGCAGCAACCGCAGGTCAGCAGCGACGCTCTCGTGCTGGGTGGCGTGTCTGAGCGACTCACTCACCAGTGGCCACAGCTGCGCAGTCGTCGGGCGCGGCTGCTCCAGCTCAAGGCACTTGTAACGGTTCATGCCTTCACCAAGCAAGCCCCGCTTGGGGTTCAACGCGCTAGGCCATAGCGCAGGGGCGGCCGATGGCCGCCCGCTTGCCGCAACAAAATGAGACTGCCTGTACAGAAAATTTACGGGACGGATTGAAGCGGTGCAGCCCAGCGCAGCGCGGCGCGACGGGCCCGAACAGAAAGCAAGACACGCACACGCGCGCGCCGCAGCGGTTGGCGGGCGCCCACCGCCATGAAAACACGCAGCAGCCGTCCCAATTGTTGATAGTGACAGCAAGCACCACCATACAGTATGCAGCATGCCAGCTACCACCACTCAGCTTCAGCTTCTGCCGTCTGGCAACAGCAGCAGGTGAGTCATGCATGGTTGCCAGTTGAGACTTTGCTTCGTCGACCAGACCATGACTCATCGACTTTCCCTGCCATGTTCTGTTGAGTGTCCCTCAGCAAAGCCCAGACAGCCATCAACGTCACCCCTTCCCCCCCTCAAGGAGGGCGGGGTGCTCACGGCCATGTGCAGCCAGGCAGCTGTCTTCCCCGTCAACCCTGCTGCTGCTATCGCGTTGTTTGCAGCCCCCACCGCGGCCGCTGCTGCAGCTGCCGCCGTTGTTGTGGCCCCTCGCCTTAGACACGTTGGTACGCCAAAGGCAATCACACCACCCTTGACCACATCAGGCTGCTGTGGTCGTTGTGCCTACCACGCAGTGTTTTGCGCTCTGAAGTGGTGCCTGGTAATGGGCCAAGGTTTTGCTGCGCTGTTGTTTTTGATTTGCGGCCGAATTATTATGTGACGGTGCCAGATGGCTCCAGAATCGGGCGCCTACAGGACGCTGTAACAATCCCGATCCATCTGCGCGGTCCAGTGTTGGCGGGCGCGCTTTGCTGCATCGCTTCGACGCACGCTGCAGCGCTACCTGCCTCGACGCCCCACCATTGTTAGGGCACTGCGTCTAAGTGTTGTTGGTGTACCCCGGCTATAGAACCTACACCGGGGCTTGTCTCCTCAGATCGTGCATTCCTACTACTCCTAGAGACCAGGTCAAAAGCCTCAGCTTGATCAAAAAAACCCTCAATCAAGCACGTTACTGCACAAAGCCTGGAAGCAGGCAAGCAAGG